TTTTCACGAAACAGCTCTGTTCAAGCTGTGATGAGTCAAACAGCACCAAGTAGATACGGGTGGATGCAGACACGATCAGGTTATTTAGATGTGAATTCTTGTCACATCGGGGCCTTGATGTCATATGCTGCAATAGCTGGTCGGACTTCTCAGTATTTTTTAAGTTTACGAGAGGCATGTTTCCCGGTTCGGTGTCTCCTGTAACGAGATTTCACTGTAATACAAGTTCTTTAAGCTCACCTATATATCTTTCCGGCCTGAATTATCAAGCCATTAAATAACTCAATATCTATTTTTCAATAATAACTCGGATATTAGCTATCACCGTTCACACTCGCATTTATACCACAGCCTTTCTGTGTATTCATATTTATTTCACTGATTTTCTTAGCTACAGCATGAAAGTTTTATACAAAAAAAAAAGCAATGCTGAATTCATATTCTACTTTCATGCTGACTGATAGTTTAATTAGGTGCTATCAACCACCTTATCCAACCCTCTAACCTGCTGTTATTTTCCAATTCTTTTGTAGCATAAAAGCGCATCTGTTGCAGAAGCTCTCAACATGCAAAGGCAACATGTTGCTGCAATTCCCAATGGTTCAGAATGAACTAGAATAAGCTTCGGTTATTCTCAGTGACTTCAAAAGCTTAGTTGGAGTTGCAGCAATCAAGATAGCATCTCAGTCACGCACGCTCTTAGATGAGTCTACAGAGGCTTTAATGCATGCCTCCATGCAAAATATGGGTAAAACCATAACTTGTAATTCGTGCAAGCTTACTCAGCTAGTCTTCTAATGCTTGGCTATATATAAATAAAGCGAATAGCTACTAATCACAGGTAGGAAACATTTAAAATAACTCAACAATACTCCAGCTCATTGGCTTCGTCTCTGTAAACACGAAATTGGTGCAGCGTGAAAAATTCCCGCAGGCAGGCTGTCATATTTTATGTGACAGCTTGCTTAGCACAGCACACTACTTTGGTGGAAGAGCCACAGTTTATGAATTTATGATGTCCACTTGCATTCGCTGTAGAGTACTACTAGCATATCAAAAATCTGCTTATCTATTTCTGATCCTGTGTTTGGGCATTTATTCCTAAAATGATATCTGCTAGGATGAAAACATAGTTATGGAGCAACCGTAAAAAGAACTTGTGAGTATTCAAAGACCATTCAATATTTGATTCAGTATTTGATTGAGTTCTGGCACTGTTCGATTGATATTTGACTGAGTTGTGAAGATTACCATTCACATACATCTAATAATAAAACTTGTCAAAGCATGTAGGTAGGTTAGTTGCTTGACGGGACTGAACGAGGACAGAGCCTGTGTGCGTGTTCTTTGTCCATGTTCAGTCGCACTGCTCAAACTTGCTTTGATACTTGTACTGCTCGGTACTTGTGAACTCGCCAAACTGGAAATTATGTGCAATTGTGAATGCTCCTGTACTTGCAGGCCAAACTACCTCCAGCCCTGGTGGACCGACAGACTTTGGTGGTCGACGCGCAGAAGCTGCATCTTTCCAGGGAGGGCACGGCTGCAATTTTTGCCCCTACGTAACAAAGTCCTCCGCGAAATTGAAACGACACCTGTTGACTCACAGCAAGGAGAGACCATTTAAATGTAACCTCTGTTCCAGGACCTTTGCACGATCCGATACGCTATCGGATCATTTGCGTGTGCACTGTGAAGAAAAACCTTACCGCTGCAGTGTGTGCTCATATGGAGCTTTTAACAAGAAAACGTTGGTGCGGCATTGGAAAACTCATGCTCACAAAAGTGACGTGGGCACGTCTTGATGCACGCGCATAAGGACTCATGCAGACACATTTGCATGTGCAGTGAGTGGTGCTACTATGGCTACCCACCGAATGGTGCGAAAATGAACTGTGTTGCACGCCTTTGTGCTTTGTCCAGTTTGGACACTTGAATCCTTTTTGATACGTCTCTGGTGCACTGCACACATACTTAGAAAGATGTTGCACATTGTCTTTCTAATATGCTGTCACTTTTATGGCTGGGGATGCATGTTGAGGGTCTCAAAACCAGAATAGTTTTGCATATGAAAAGAACAAGAAATGATATTCCAGTTAGAAATACAATGCTCGAGGTGAAAGCATGCAAGATTATTATAATACCATTTACTGCCTTGGACAAGATTTCGCATGCATGCTCATTTAAGAAAAACTGGAATGAGTATGTAGTACAAAATAATTATTTCATGTTAGCATGTTCTCACAATGAAGAAACTCTGAAACCTCACAGTGAACAAACTCTGAAACCATTTTTTGGCAGTCCACAAAATATTTCAGTATTTCAACAAGGTGGCTTCGATTAATGCACCTCAGAGTCAGTCAGACCAATTTCTTGAGAGTGATCAACCTATTTTTGGAAATGGCACAGGCGAAGTGTTATGCATTTTTTTAAATCAGGGAGAGCAACGTGACGGTGCGGCCTTGCTGGATGAACCAACACGACATCACAACAGAGGCTTGCATTCATTGAAATGTATCGCGCTGAACGTTTTCGCAACATAGTATTTCAGGTGTTTATACAATGATGGTGAGGCACATACCATCAAAGAAGCTGACTGACCAATGGGAAAACGCACTTGCCAAAGAGAACTTTTGCAAATTTCTCTTGGTGGAGAGTTCTGTTTGTGTTTATAGAGTCGGTGCGTCACGGCATGGTGATATCATACTTGAATATATCGCTATCTCTAATAAGGTTTCACTGCTATGTGCATGCAATGTGATCTGATGTTATACAAATTTAATGGTATTTTAGGGCTAGTGGAAGCCATGTGCAATCTCAACTCGTGAGGCCATGCACTCTTGTGTTGCAAGTAATTGAGCGCAACTGTACCTAGCACATGTTGCACTACTGTTTCAAAATAATTTTCTGGAGAACTCATTTAGAGCTCTTGAGACAATGCTTTGGGAGAGCTTTCATATGTCCCTGTATAGCAGGAGTCTCAAGCTCACTTCACCTAGCAAGCCACTGTCACGAAAATTAACTCCTGCAAGGGCCAGGATTGTGAGAAAGCTTGTGGTGCCATTTCAAAGGCCTTTCCAATATCTCCAATGAACTATTTTGCCTAAGACATATGGCCGCCACCAGGGCTGTTAAGTCTATGTTTCCTTGCTTTTGTAGTGAGAAATTAATCACGGCCATGAAACATTGTATGCACAAAACCAACTGTTTCCATGTGTATGCATCTAACGTAACACTGTTTAGTTTTAAAGATACAAAACAAAGTGTAACAACCCACTATGGCGGTGCTGAAACCCACCCTTAAAATAGTCTATATGGGTCATTTCTGATGGGGATTCGAGGCAGGATTCCAACATGCCGATCTCGATGTGACTGAAATCTGGATGCCAAATCTGGAGTTTTGCTTCATGGTTATGTGTCAACACATGGTGACTGCAAGGACTGCCTGAGAAAAATGCTGAAGACCACTAATGCCTGTGTAGCACATGAACATAAATATTAAAAATTTTCTTTTTAATATGGGATAAAGAGAGTCATGTGCTGGTCGCACGCAGCTCGCGAGAGGTTTGCGGGCTACCTGTTTAAGACCCCAGGCGCATATGTACTTTAGGGTGCACGAGCAGAAGGTGCTGCAAGTATTAGACACCAACAGCACCTTTCTGTTGTCATGCAAAGCTCGCTGCACACTTCTTTTCCCTATTCCATTTGGCAGGCATACTTCGGCATGCAACACTGTACATTTTTAACGATTCTGTTCTTGAAATCACACTCTTTCATGTGTGACAGATGCAGCAAAGAAGAAAGAAAAAGTTTAACTAAGGCATGAAACCGAAAAAGAAAGAGTAAACATTTTCATTCTTAAAATATAGCTTCAGCGAGGCATGCCCAGTCCACAATGTCGCTTCACTTGACAATCACCCGACATTTCTGCCAATCGTCATCTATGCTGGTTGGCACAACTGTGCGAGAGTGCGCGACGTCTTGAGGGTAGAGATTCAGGTTCAAGCTGTGGTGGGCAATCGCAGAGCAAGGCAGACGTCGTGGCATAGTATGCAAGAGCCGACAATGAGCCGTAGCGGTAAGGACGCTGGTGAACAGGACGTGCACTGCTGCCGAGCGGCGCTTCGGCCTTTTTGTTTTCGATTTTGTGTGGATCTAGTACCGAAATTGAGGGAAGGAGTCTATCACCTTTAGACAGCCTTGACAAAATAGATACAGGAGTCATGAATTTCCCAGCTTGATGCCTGAGGCAAGTGAAGCTTTTATAATCTTTTACAGCTAACTAGATTACTTGTTGGCCATAAAATAAAAGTACTTATCGTGGTGAAATTGTGCACTTCTCTGCTTTTGGATGCACAAATGGACAAGTTCTCATTTTTTGTGCAATTTTAGGGAAATGTCTGATCACAGGCTTATTAGAAGCTTAAGTTTGTAGAATTCTATGTATTGAATTATTGACATACCCAAGTTTATGTCTGTCTGTAGGAGAGGAAGACAACTTTGCATGCTGTGCCAGTAATAAGGCTCTCCAGCAAAAGATCAGATCTTATGTTAGATCTTGCGTGACACCACAGCAGTGGTGTGGCACAAGTCACACTTACAGACGTAACTGTTTGTTGCAGAAGGTTAATCGCACCACGTGAATTATGCGACGAGTGGGTGGTTCGAAACTGCTAAACCATAACACAAGGCCGAGTTATAATTTATCATTAGCCACAGCATCAACAAAGTACGCAGTTACTCATGTGACCTCTGAAACTTCAATGACAATGCCAAAAGAGCCACGCCAGATGGCTTTCACCTGCAAGTCATAGTGAACGAATACAAACAAGATCACGCAGATTTTTCGACGACTTCTCGTAAACCTCAAGCCCCTATGTTCTCCTGAACATCTGCATTGTATGGACTTGTAAATAACATGCTGTAAAGTTTAAAGATTGGTGTGAAACAGATTTTTCCATGCTTGATTGTTTTCTTTGTCAAGTATGAGGCAAAAGACGCTCCTCAACAACAAACTTTTATTAAAAAGTGGGAAGAAAAACTTGGACTTATGAAGAAAAACTAGATTCACAGCTATTGACCTGCAACACTGCAAAGCGCACTGCGCACACTAACATTTACCCCCTTAAATTTCAACAAAAAACAGGACAGAGACTCCTAGAGAAGAAAAAAAAAAGAATGTTGTGTGTGAAAGTATGGGAGATGATGTAGCAGGAATGGGGCTGCTCGACTGCCGCGCGGGAGCCAGAGCCAAATGTCATCCGGAGCACTCGCTGTCGCTCGACGCCAAAAGAGGCTTCCACCGGCCGCGGGCAAACAGGGTTGCTTTCTGCGGTCAGCTTCATAGGGGCGTCGGAAACCTGGAGACCCCAGCGTGGCGCCTGGCTCGGCTAGGGCTCGGCAGCAAAGCGTACCTCCAATCTGTGCGGGGGGAGTGCAGTTGAAGAAAGAGGCCCGTGTTGCAAAAGCTTCTGGCACAATGGTATCGTACTTTTAGGAGTTGCGCATGAAAGAGTGTAAACACAAAAACACCTTACGAAAGTACACACCCCGTGCCAGGAGTGTGTACAAGTGCCACTGTGAGTGTACATTCCTCCTTTCATGCTTGTGTTCTTTGGCACCCAATACCTAAATGTTTGACAAACCAACAAGCCCGGATCACAGCACTCACCAGCTACAACTCCAGCACACTTGGTAAGAAACGAGCACGCTTGCTTACAGGATAAGAACTAAATCATGCAAATGACAATACAGCAGACTCACAGCAAATGAAAATATTTTGAAACAGTATTGCCCCTTCAGGGGGGACATGGCGTGTGGAGACCAAAAAAATAAATCGGCCAAGAATAAGGTATTTGCTTTATTACATTCAAAAGAGTGACTAATTGGTCTGGTTGGTATTGCATTTTAAAAGAAATATACTTTCTTGGTGCGCAGAACATTTAAAAAAAGTCAGAAGTGTGTCTGTCCTATCTGACTTCTTTCTGAAACGTTCTACGCACAAAGAAGGCATATTTTAAAATTTATTACATTGTTGAGATTTACAGCTATCGTTTTGCATGTAAAGCAAGACAAAACAGAATAAACAGCTATTGAACTCCGACACTGCACAAAGCACTGTGCTCTGAGGCCAGTATTTCATCCGCCGTTTATATCTGTACAATACAAGTGCAAGCCGAGGGTCAGTTATTTACGTTGTTGAAAAAATTTCTTACGATCTAGAGCAGCTAGAGCTGTAATGGCTTATTTGCCTTTATGTTCAGGTTGTGCATCGCAAAGTGCTGAGAGCATGATTCTCATTTTCTGCTAACAGATTTTTAAATTTTGATTTCTTATTTATGTACAAACACTGAATTTTGGATCGTCTGCAGAATGAGTAGTTATGACTGAACTTAAAGACTTTGCAGCGTTCCACTTACTGCATACAATATAGTACCTAGTTACTATACCGTGATATAGACTTTCTGTTGAATGTCTTTTTCCTACTGTCTACAGAAACAATAGAAAGGTAGTTTCGTGCATCTGAAAAACCAGTTTACGTACACGAAAAGTAATTGCATATTTGAAAGGAGCATGAATAAAGTAAACAAGTGTGCAACAAAATCTCAGCAAATGAAAATCTGTTGAACAGAACTGCTGCTTAAACGGAACAACTGCCTACGATATGATTAGTTTTCCCCTGCATAGTGCACCCATGTTCATCTCTAAGTAAACGGAACTCCCGTTAAATGGAAGATAATTTTCCTGAGCCCCTTCAGGTTCTGTTAAATGAGAGTCTACCGTATTTAGTTTTGTTGGGTCTGGACATAAAATGTAACAAACATCTCTACGCGCCATGTCCCCAAGGGCCATGAAACAAGTGCCTCTAATATAACTTGCCGCGTACTTGAATTCTGAACCTGTGTACATCTCTCAGTAAGTAGAACCTCTGTTGAGCAGAGAATATTTTCTTGATCCCGTCTGGTTTCGTGCCTGATATGATTTTCTATAAAAATCACCAGAGATAATTCTGATGCTCTTGTTGACGAGAGCAGTAAGGCAGCTCATTCAGCGTGGCAGTGGTTATGTGAACTTCATCCTTTTAGCTCCAGCAGAAGTAACCACAAAAACATGGTGTTGCAGAGAGGCATACCTCGCAACTGAGAAAACTTTCTTATTGCTCCTTTCTGGTTAAATCAAACGGTACAGCAGATCTCTTGCGCGTCCTACTATTTTTGTTGGCATTTTGCATCTTCAAACCACTAAAATCGGCCCACACCAAAAACACTTATGGAACGCAGGAGTCTGCCACACTGTAGGCCAAAATAGCATTGTTTTAGCTTCCATGCCCCAAGAAGTGATTGTGATATGCACTTATGGGCAAACATACAATGCCTTAATACATCAGGCTTTATGAAGATCGAGTCGGGCATTTTCTGCAACTATTCTTCAGCTATTTGCACATCTTAAGCTGACAGATGTTGCACAGATCATTTAACACTAGCGACAGTAAATAGGCTCACCTTGATCAGCGGGATGCACTAAGACGCCGGGCAGGCAGCTAGCTCTCGCCTAGGCCCAGTGTGGACGACTTGAGGAACACCTGGTTGTCGATGATCTGGAACAGCTCGGGAGGTGATGGAATGCGGCCCGTCTCGATTTTGGACCAAACCCGCACATCTGTGAGCAATATTGAAGCACACATCAAGTGCACTGCACCGACTCCACGCTGAGGGCAGAACAAGGTAGTAGCACACAGTGGAAAAAACCGCAATGCACGAAATTGTAATCCCAGCAGTGTTGAGCATACCGATCTTAACTGACCAGCACATACACCTCAGCAATAGTTATTCACTATTTCTTTAAGAACACCAAATTTTACACACGCCACGCTGCAACTTATCACAGGCTCTGTGTCAACCATCTTTACTACTGTCTAATGTTGATACTTCTCACATCAGTCACCAATATAAATGTAAATCCTGATGATTCGGACATGCATGATTATCTGGACAGCTTCGTGACACTGCCACTGTCATAAGGACCTGACACTTACAAATGACCAAAATTTGGACAGGATAATGCCACCCTTGCAATTAAATTGCAGTGTTAAAACTTTGACTTGGTTCAGTTGGCCGGCATGAACAACATGTAAGTGAACATTATGATAACACTGCAGGTTTGTGGACAAGTATCATGAAAAAAAGCAGGTTGCCTGTTGTTGCATTCCTAGGTGCCAGTTCAAGTTATTCTTAGCTGGACCACAACATATTTAGTAAAAAAAATCATCAATAAAAAATTAAATGCTATGATATTTCATCTGCCAAACACTGATCTGTCAGTAAGGCTTTACTATACAGTGCAGTTCACTTATAACGATACCACATATAACGATATATCGGTTATAACGATGGGTCGACTTAACAGTCTCATTTTATGCATTGGGGCTATGGGGAAAAAAACCATATATAACGATATGTTATCCACCGCATATCGGATACAACGATGAAAAGTTTGCCGCGGACGGCATGTTTCATTCAGAATAATCGTAACATTTAGATTGATAAGTTCCTCTGAAACGAACTATGCCGAGACAAGACGAAAAGTTAGCGTAGGCGAGTACGTATCTGCCGCCACTGCAGCACAGCGCCGGCAGCGCGTCCCGGCCGTTCAAAAAGCCGAGGAGAGCATCGAGAGTTGGCGCGACGCGCTACAGATGGCGCCAGCTGTGTCACGTTTTGCGCCTCGCCGCGCGTCGACCCGTCACCCCCGGAAGCTTTTCAAAAGATTTTCCGGGGGTGACGGTCGACCGCGGAGAGGCTGAGAGAATTTAAAAAAAAAATGCGAAAAGCAAAGTGCCGCGCTCCGCGGCTCCCCGCCTTCTACAACGGCAAGCTACTCGTAGATTGCCGAACGAAAGCGGGAAAGAGAGAGAAAATAAAAAAAGCGAAAAGCAAAGCGGCGCGGCGGCATCGGGGCGGGGCCTCGTTGGCATTCCGGCTGTGTACCTCTGGCTGTGCTTTCTTCCTCCCACTGCTCCCACCCCGCCGTCGCTCAGTCTCTCTTCCTCAGCGAACCCGTTATGCGTTCTTCGGAGTAAGAAATAAAGTCTTGTTTTTGACATCCTACTATCTACAATATTTATTAATTGGTGAAAATAGCGAAATGAAGCCTGGAGCTACAAAAGGTACGTCCGGCGACGATTTTTTGGCGGCAGTCCAGATATAACGATCACCGGTTATAACGATCATATTTTTAGGTTTTCTCGATATCGTTATAAGTGGACTGCACTGTAGTGGCAAAATCTGTACTAATTTTCATCACAGTCACCAGTAGTCATTTCCCATCTGCTAAACACTACGGTAGCCATGCTTTCGTGGTGGCCAAATCACAAGTCAAAATCAATGCTTTGGCTAGTGCAGCTCAAAGGTTTTGCATCAGTTGGTGAAACAGGTATACTTCCCTCAATTCCTTGCAGAAACTACAATGGGACTCGTGCCTTAAATGATAAAAGCCCAGAAGCAGAAAAAAAAAAACATATCAGCAAGAGGGGGGGGGGGGGGGATTCTATTCTAGGTATTTGTCAAACATGACAATTTGTGAAATCATACTTGGGCTGAATGAAACTTCCAAATAACAAAGTTCAGCTGTATCACCTTTCTAATTATACAGTAGACGGAAATCTGTAAAATGAAACTGCTGCTTAAATGGAACAACTGCCTTTGATATGATTGGTTCCATTCTTGCATTCTGCAGCCCTCGTCAGCTCTGAGTAAACGAAACTCATGTTAAACAAAACAGATTTTTGTTGGTACTTTCAGGCTTCGCTTAATGACAGTCTGCAATATTCACTAGTGCATCCTTCTTACTCGAATAATGGTACACAACCCTCAATATCACCTAGCAACCATGCTGCATAGGTGCGATAGTATATTGTAGTATGGTGACTAACTGGTCTAATGATGATGATGAGTAGTTTTTAGTGGCGCAAGGGCCAATTGATGGCCAAAGAGCGCCATTTCAATTGACTACAGATATGAACAATGATATGGTGCGTGGCTGTAAAGGGGCCTTAAAATTCCTCGCTCTAACGCGGGTTAAAACATGAAAGTAATAAAATCATGACAGTGGCGTGACATATGTGTGGTGATAGCTGATGGCAAAAAGTCATGATAATAAAACCATGATGAAGATATAGTCACCGCAGCCACGACCACTCTATAGAGGTCGTGCTACGGATGACCTCGAAATATTGGGTGAAAGTTTTGCACTTCTTTTAAAAATGTAAAAAGTGTTTGCAGTTTAAAAAGCGGATCCCTACCGATGAGCATCCCAGGGTGTAGAGGGAGCTGCTGTCGGTAGGGCAGTAAAAAGAGCTTTTTTCTTAGAGCATCTAGCTCATTGCACTGGACGAGAATGTGGAGAACCGTAAGGGGCTCTCCACATCTCTCACAATATGGTGGATCACCGGTAGACAGAAGAAATGAATGTGTAGAATGTGTGTGTCCAGTCCTAAGCCTTGTTAGTATTACTTCCGTGTGTCGTGATTTTGATAGTGGCGGCCAATAACCTAGTTGCGGCTTAATAGCATGGAGTTTATTATCTGTTTGTTTATCCCACATGCTCTGCCAATACCCCCTGAGCTTTCGTTTTATAAAAGGTTTTAAGTCAAGTGCAGGGACTGGTGTTGGTGCATTGGCAGTAGTGACATTGGCGCAAGCAGCCAGATTGTCGGCCAAAACGTTCCCTTGTATTTCACGGTGCCCTGGGACCCAGCAGACAACGACATGCTGTTTTGATGTGTAAAGTGTGCACAGAAGTGAGTAAAGTGACACCAGCACTGGGTTCTTGTGTTTTTTAGGAGTTTTCAGGGCTTTGACCACACTTAGAGAATCTGTGTATATTACCGCCTTTTGTAATTTTACCTGTTTAATGTGTTTTACGACCGCCAGTATTGCGTGAGCTTCTCCTGTGAAAATGCTTGCATTAGGATGAAGAACGCCGGCCTCAGAAAAGGATTGGCCTATTGCTGCATATGACACAGAAGTGTTTGACTTTGACGCATCAGTAAAGAACTCAGGGCATGTGTATTTATGTTGTAGCTCTAAAAAGTATGTATGTATGTGTGCAAGTGGTGCGTGCTTTGTGACATCAACAAAAGAAACATCACAGTCTATAAGCTGCCACTGCCACGGTGGCAAATATGTTGCAGGAGCCATCAAACTGGATTCAAGAAGAGGCACACCTGTTCCTTCGGACAGGCTCCTTACACGCAGCGCGTAGGGCTGCCTAAACGAAGGTCGGTTCTCGAACAAGCCAGAACAAGACAAATCATTAATTGTGAAATGGGAAGGATGTTTCTTGTCTGCCTTCACCTTCAAAAAGTACAAAAAGGACAGGGAACATCTTTGTAGGTGGAGCGACCATTCATTCGAATCCACGTACAGGCTCTCCACAGGGCTGGTGCGGAAAGCACCCGTAGAGAGGCGAATGCCTAGATGGTGGACAGGGTCGAGAATTTTCAAGGCTGATGGTGTTGCCGACTGGTAGACTATAGCACCGTAATCTAGGCGTGTGCGTACGAGGCTTTTATATAAGTTAATTAAACATTTTTTGTCACTACCCCATGTAGTGTGTGACAACACTTTCAAAATGTTCATTGTTTTTAAGCACCTGTCCCTTAAATACTTGATGTGTGGGATGAAACTTAGCTTAGTGTCTAATATGAGACCGAGAAACTTGTGCTCGGTCTTCACTGACAGAGGTTGACCATGCAGGTCAATGTCGGGGTCAGGATGGAGGCCCCTCTTTCGGCTGAACAAGACACTAGTACTCTTTTGCGCGTTGAGTATAAAACCATTCTCGTTTGCCCATTGAGATACCTTGTTCAACCCTAGTTGAACTTGGCGTTGGCACATTGAGATGTTGCACGATTTGTAACCAATCTGCACATCATCGACATATATGCAGTAAAAAATATTTCGTGGGAGAGACAGGTGCAAGGAATTCATTTTAACTATGAAAAGTGTGCAGCTCAATACACCTCCTTGTGGCACTCCTGTTTCTTGGACAAATACTCGAGAGAAGACGGTGCCAACTTGGACACGGAATGTACGATTGGACAGGTAGCTTTCGATAACTGTCAGCATTCTACCCCGCACACCTAAATGTGACAGGTCTCGCAATATGCCGAAGCGCCATGCAGTGTCATATGCCTTTTCCATATCGAGAAACACAGAAAGAAAAAATTGCTTATGAACAAAAGCGTCGCGAATTTGTGCCTCGATACGGACAAGGTGGTCAGTGGTGGACCGAGCCTCTCGAAACCCACACTGGTATGGGTCAAGTAGGCCACTAATTTCAAGGAAGTACATCAGGCGCCTGTTAATCATTTTTTCAAAGACTTTGCAAATACAGCTGGTTAATGCTATTGGCCTGTAGCTGGAAACTGAGGCCGGGTCCTTGCCTTGTTTTAGAATTGGGATAATAATAGCTTCCTTCCAGGCTGAGGGTAGCTCGCCAGAAGACCATATCGCATTATAGAGAGAGAGGAGAGCTTTCTGGGTTTCAGTGGGCAGGTGTTTCAACATTTCATATGCCACACGGTCCGGGCCTGGGGCAGATTTATTGCAGCAGGCAAGTGAGGCCTGCAGTTCAGCAAAACAGAAAGGTTCGTTGTATGCCTCATGTGTTCTGGGCTTGCGCTCTAATCTCTGTTTTTCTATTCCGGTTTTGTATCGTCGGAACGCTTCGCTATAGTGTGTTGAGCTGGAGACCTGTTCAAAGTGCGCTCCGAGAGTGTTTGCCTGGTCTTCCAAACTCTCCCCTTGTGTGTTCACTAGAGGAAGCGAATGTGCTTCTCGTCCTGCCACCTTACTAACCATGCTCCAGACTCTCGACTCATCTGTGTATGAGTTAATGCCCGATACGAATTTGTGCCAACTTTCTCTTCTCGCCTGTCGGCGCGTCCTCCTTGCTTGCGACTTGACGTTCTTAAAGTTTACAAGATTCTCGGCTGTGGGCGAGTCTCTAAGCAACCTCCATGCCTTATTTTGTTTTTTTCGAGCATCACGGCACTCATTATTCCACCATGGGACTCGTCGTTTGCTTGACGGTCCACATGTTTGGGGAATACATTTTGCTGCTGCATCAACCAAGAAAGCTGTAAAGTAGCATACAGCATCCTCTATGCTCAATGCCGCCATGTCAGTCCAAGATAATAAAGTCATTTTTTGAAACTTTCCCCAATCAGCTTTGTCGGTGAGCCATTTTGGAACTTGTACAGGACATGTATTTGTTATTGATGAGCTGATAACGATAGGAAAATGGTCACTACCATATGGATCATTAATAACTTCCCATTTAAGTAGAGGCAGGAGTGATGGGGATATTATGCTGAGGTCTATTGCTGAGTACGTATTGTTAGCAATGTTGTAGTATGTTGGCGCTTTCCGATTCAGAAGGCATGCATCGCAAGAAAAAAGAAGCTGTTCAATCAGGCGACCTCGAGCATCGCAGCGAGAGTCACCCCACAGATTGCTATGTGCATTGAAATCTCCCAGAAGAATATAAGGTTCTGGAAGTTCCTCTATGAGGGACTCGAATTCATGCTTTTCAAGACGGTGTTGCGGAGGTATGTAGAGAGAGCAGATGGTGACGAGCTTATTCAAAAGAACTGCTCGAACAGCCACCGCCTCAAGGGATGTTTGTAGTGGTAGGTGTGTGCATGCAATCCCTTGATTGACTATAATGGCAACACCACCGGATGGCACTATGGCATCATTCCGGTCTTTCCGAAAGATAACGTAGTGACGTAAAAAGTTGGTGTGTTTAGGTTTCAGGTGTGTCTCTTGTACGCACAGCACCTTAGGTGTATGTTTATGTAAAATTTCCTGGATATCGTCGAGGTTTCTCAACAGTCCTCTGACGTTCCACTGTAGTATTTGTGTCATTTTAATGTAGTGTGGTGCTGTGTGTACAGAGGTGTTGCGTTAGTTTACAGGGCCTTTTGAGGGCCCCGTGATTCGAGGTTTTTCTTTTTTGGCGCGCTCTAAGGAGTTGCGCCTATCCTTCGGCGTCTGAGGCGCCGGAGGAGTGGGACTTGTATCCATCACCTCTTGTGAGGTGGTGGATGGTGCCTGCTGGGCAGGCACATTCACTGAACTTTTGGACCTAACTGCGCCTGCAGTGGTCCCAGGTTCGGCGGACACCGGGGTCTGCCGGCCCTGTTTGTCAGGTGGCGGAGCAGTACAGGCTGCTCCAGCCGGGGGCGCTGGCGGCACGACCGCGGCCACACACTGTGTGACATTCGCGGGTGCCGAGGCATGTGGCGCGGCGCCCCGGCGCGTCACATCTGCAAAGGAGGGATAAGATGGGTTGTGTATTGCGAAACGTTGGCGTGCTTCTTGGAATGTGAGATTGAATTTAACCTTGAGTTCTACTATTTGTTTTTCTTTTTTCCATGCGGGGCATGATCGTGAGTAGGCAGCGTGATCTCCTTCACAGTTCGAACAATGAGATGTTTCTGAGGTGCAGTTGTCTGATATGTGTTGAATGGATGCGCACTTTGCGCAAGTGGCACGCCCTCTGCAACTCTGCGATCCATGACCAAAACGTTGGCACTTGAAACATCGACGAGGGTTGGGAATGTATGGTCTCACACGAAGCTTACAATAGCCGGTTTCGATTGATTCTGGTAGGTCACTTGTTCCGAAGGTAATTATTATGTGTTTTGTAGGGGTAAGTTTGTTGTTGCGCCTTATTGTTATTCGTTGGACTTTGACCACGTTCTGGTCCTGCCAACCTTCGAGCAGTTCACTTTCAGAAAGCTCAGTAAGGTCATCATCAGAAACTACGCCACGGACAGTGTTCATGGACCTGTGTGGGCCCACCGAAACAGGGGTTTCCCCAAAGGCTACTAGCTTAGACAGCTTTTCATACTGGGCTTTGTCACGTACCTCCAAAAGAAGATCGCCACTTCCCATCTTTGTCACTTTATAACCTGGGCCTATTGCTTCTGTGAGAGTTTTGGAAACGAGGAAAGGTGAAATGGCTCGGACTGTCTTGTTTTCGTTTTGACTGTGGATTACATGGTACTTTGGGAATGTCGGCTTTGGTGTGTTTAGCAGGAAAGTATCTTCGGTGCGCCACCTTTTTAGGGAGCGATCAGGAAGGAGGGGAAAAGCTTTTGCCATAAAAATACTATAAAGTTCGGCGGCGATGGTGGCCACCCACCACCGAGCCCAACAAGGGGACGCTACAAGGTTGACTAGTGAACACTTGGAGACGCCAGCCATGCATCGCCGCTATAACCGAATATAACTACCCAAGGTTGGGTAACTACACAGGGTTAACCCTCGCCGCCAGGAAATTCGGAAGTAAACGGAAAAGAGAAGATGACAGGACAGATAAAAAGAGAGAGATACAGACGAAGATGTAGGAAGAGAGAGATAGGAAAAGGCGACTGCCGATTTCCCCTGGATGGGTCAGCCCAGGGGTGCCGTCTACGTGAAGCCGGGGCCAAAGGGGTGTGTTGCCTCTGCCGGGGGGCCTTAAAGGTCCAATCACCCAGCGTCGGCTCAACCCCCAGGATCCCCTTTTCCCCGGACACGGCAAAGCCACGCACGGCTAGGCGTGGGAGGGAGTCAAAACTCCCCCGTTAGCTCGGGTCCGTGGTGTCGCTACACACCAAACGCCTGCTTTAACAGGCGCCCCTGCGGGGGACTAACTGGTCTAAATTTGTACATAAACACTGGAAAAACCTCCTTCCCCTACACTGCATGCCTATGGTGTGGGACATTGCCAGAGGGAACCAAAAAGTTTGTACGACAAGCACTGGTACAAAACATTGACGAACAGTAGTACTTCACAAGCCTTGATTAGCGTTGCTAACTGCAATGAGCAATTCATAACTTGTGACAACAAATGTCACCGCAGCTACTCGAAGAATAGAGAAACGTAACAAGCGGGCAGCACACCGGGAAATGTAACGGGACCAACTGGCGTATTTAATTGATCTTCATAGACAAATTTTAGCCCTCTAAAGATAATGTTCGAAAATGAATCGTGCACATAAAAGGTGTGGCTTTTAGAAAGCAACACACTACCTTTTAGAAGCAACACATTGTCAAAAAAGCAACACACTAGCTTTCTTGACTGTCTTTCCTAGCACATGTTGCAAATAGTTCATGGCGTCACGCAATCACTTTCGTGGGAGTTAAGCATATAGCTTTTATGGCATTTCATGTTTTTTACACCAGATAAAACGTAGTAGCTGTTACGTACCATTGAAGTAAATCTCAAACGCCCCGGTAGAAACTAGCTTGCTCTCGATGGCTCCACACACAAAGAACAACATGAGACAGGAGTACAGCTGCAAGGAGGTGACAATGAATTAACATAGAATTTCATGTCCTAAATATTAACACTCAAATAAGACACGTGGGCACAGATGGCATCCATTTTTACATAAGACATCTATTATTATTAAAACTTGTATGATTAATAGTTCATTCCTTTTGCCTTTCGTTTATGTATTATGTCACATAACGAATGCAGCAGTTCCTCCAGCAAAAAAAAAAAAAAAAAAAAAACCCATCTTGTGCAACCAACAAGAAACATCCATTTTTCTTACAATACAAAAAAAGTTAATGATGCAGGGTCCGAATCTGGCCAAGAAATCTGGGGAGGAAATATTCAATAATTATGTCTGGAAAGAACTGATAAACTTAGTCAATTGACCACTGCGACACAATGAGAACTTTTTTAAGTAGTCCACTAGCTGGCATATCAAGTTAGGGGCACAGAGTAGACCATCTGTCACAGCTGGTGCTCAAAGGCAAAGCTTAAGAGTCAACAAAAAGGAGTGCCGTTCTCCTTGCTCACAAGCTCCACCCAATTGAGCATCACTGTATTATTCGGCTCACATTGTGGGCTCTTGCAGAATACTAGCCCTGAAGTGAAGAACTAGTACTTTCTTCTCTGAAATGACTAATTTGTAGTTTCTGATGTGCTTGCCATAAGTAAGAAAATAAAGGACAAAGCTCACTGCAGTGATGAGATAAGCTTCCCTAAAGTGCTAAGAAATAAAACCATGTCAATTCATGCACAATATTGTTAAGCCACGGTCACTTCGTAGCAGGTAGCTCATGCTTTTTCGTTTTGGTCTTGTTTTTATAGGCTCTGCAATGACCCCACGATTGTGGCACTCGGCTACCGACTCGCATTTCAACGAAGGCGGGATGCTAGAGGCCCATGTACTGTGCAATGCCACTGTATGTTGAAGAATAACGGGTGGTTGAAACTATGCAGAGCCCTCGGCTATGGTGTCTCTCATAGCCCAAATTGCTATGGGATGTTAAACCATACATACCAAGCCTAATTTTTACTATTTTCCCAAGTTTTTGACAATATAGGTTGGTCATACTACTGCTGGCATGGTCAAAGTGGATACTGTTTAGGAACAGTTTTCTGCTAGCCTTGAAATAAATACACACAACTTTCATAAAAACTGAAAAAGAGGTAAGTGCTTTGCTTGTATTTTTTCAGTTTTGCACTCCACATTTTTTTCTTTCTGTTTTCACTTCAAGAACAGCTGGCTCAAAAGGCCAAAACCTGAAGGGTAGTTATACTAACTAAGCCTGCACAGAATGCACAATGAAATGCCTGTCACAGGAAGCATAGCAAAGTCTGCCTTGACAGCAGTGCCGTGGAGAGCGTGACATGTCAAGTGGAGGGACATTAAGTCAGCTGTGTAAACTGCGCGTGACATGCCAGGCAGCTGAGAGAGTGCGTTCCGAGTCGCATAAGCTACCCTCTGACAACACAAAGAGGTCTGCAATTCAGCTAGCCAGACATCAGCAAAGAGCAGTGGAGTCGTGCACAGGTGCCAGTTGGGAAATAACAGGGAAGGGTCGAGTGCAGCTCCCGTCCCCTTCGCCCAATTCTCTTTTGACATACCTACTTTATGCCGAACATAGTCATAATGATACTTTTGTTCCAGTTGGCATTTAGTAGGACAATAATGACATATTTTTTTACATATTAGCAGATAACTTTTTCACAGTACACAAAGCTTATACTCTTATATCAAGAAGGTGCATCATAAGGGAGTTGACACACAAAAATAATGTGATAATACCACTTCGAGGTTTGCACGACTTGTCATTGCATCGAATATTTTGATGGTGTCGGCTACGACTTAACCATATTTCATTTCTAAAATAAAGTACTACTACATTGTCTTCTAAGAGACCAGTGGCTTGACATAGGAAGTTTTAGAAGTTGAAGTGGCAGAAATACGGAAAATGACTTTCAAATTTGTGATGGCATGCTTCATATCAAGCTGAAGTTTTGTGCATGAAAAATTAGTACTTGATTTCCTCTTCAGTAACAAACCGACAATGATTAGATGAAATCAAAATATAGTTCTCAAACAACAATTTAAGAGTTTAAGCTCTTTCAATTTTTCACTAAAAGGGTGTTTGAGAGCCCTTTGCATAGATGGCGACTTGCCACATGGCTTGGTCCCAGCTCACCTTGTTGCCGACCATCCAGGTGTAGAAGGCCGGTGTGGGGTGCCCCATCCAGGTGAAAGGGTTGAATCCCAGCAGCACCAGCGCAATGAGGGCCAGCTTGAGCAGGGACAGGGCGTGGGCCAGCTGCATGCGGGGGGGTGGTGGGGGGTAGGCGTCCCCTTCCACCAGCAGCGATGGGTACTTCTCCATCAGCAGCCCCGCATACTGCTCAAAGGCCCGACGATAGCCTCACGAGTAGCTGCGCATGAGGATGGCCGAGCGCTCAGTTAAGAAGTTGGCCCCAAATACAGGACACTCATATTTGCCACCTCTCTAAACAGCTACTTGCCTCCTCTTTGAGGACTGGGTCTACTTGTAGATGGCATTATACGTAATGCTAACACAACATTTATAGCAGTGTTACATAAACTAACAGAATGATTCCAAGGAAAGTATAGGGGATGTTATTAATATTACTAATACTATCCCCTATACTTTCCTTGGCAACAATGCCTTTTCTCATTAATATTGTCTCTAAAAAAGAAAACTTCCAATTCTTTCCTTCATAAACTCCATGCACAGTTTATACAATGTTTCGTAATGAGTAGAAATTTAATATGCACTTTCATATTTAAAAATGGTGATTTGCCTTAAAATAGAAAATTTTGTCTTTTTAACACCCTTACTTTATGCTAGTGGGCATCTCAATGCAAAATGTTATGCAGCTTCCATGCCCTGTTGTGAACATAACTAAGTTGAATGGCTGCTAACATCCAAACTCTTTTCTGAAAAGACACTGCAACAACTTCACTCTATGCGCTTGCAACTAGTAATTTTTCAAACCAAATACAAGAAGAAATAAATAATGTCCAAAGCAAAGCGAATTAAGTGTGTCCTGATGTCCTTAAATTTAGCATCAAGAACACTGAATGAGATTCAGAAACAAATAAGAAGATTTTGTATGTGCACACAACTCTTGATGAAGTGCTAGTGATTGGTCTATGAGCGACACATTCTGGCTCTCCAAACTATGTAAGTGGCCATGTTTTATGCCAGTGCTACCTATGCCTCAGGAAATGAAAGTTATTGTCATTTTACAATAATTTCCGGTTTGCCTTGACACAGTCAACATTTATTAACATTCATAAACTATTTAAAAATATTTTTTTTAAAATAGCAACTAGCACTCATTGATTTTGTATTACAAAAGCTTGAATATTTATGCACCCATAGTTTGGTGCACTGGCAAGCCTCCGGCCAAACAGCAGGAAATGGACTCCTCATAATGCCTGCTTCCTTCCTGTTCTTTTAAAGACAAACAAGAATGGTTGCATATCCCACTTCACATCACATTTATTTTTCTACTACTTGAAAACGAAATGCACATGCAAAATTTCTCTAAGCACTCGCACGTGGAGCCCTTGTGCAAACAGCTGTCGGCACACACGATCCCGAAGCATATGCTTTTGCTTGTCCCAGTTATGGCTTGCTACATGTGACATACTATGCATAGCTCATTCAAAATACCTGCTTTGCAGCAACCGTGCATCAAACGAAAAGGCTCCACTGAAATTTTACACTAAAATTGTACACCTTTTAGTTTCCACAATGGAAGCTGCTTAAAAACACTAAAGACAAACATTACGTTGACAGCGATTGTTGAAATAGTGATCCAGAAACCTTGTAGTGCAACTATTGTGCCAAGGAAGCGCTTATTTAGAAATAAAATCATGTTTTAATGGTCTTCATCACATTAGCGCACTTTAAATCCCCTGCCTCAATGCGGTCTTTCTGAGGCCACTGTTTTTGTACACAACTTTGCCCACCTTTTTTGCGCGGCCGCCGACAGTAGTACCTGCAGGGCGCAGGTAGCAGGAGCCACAGCAGCACTGGCCATTAAACAATTTTCTGCTTGCTTCAACTGGGTACCACTCGAGGGCACCGGCTATCCAGCCTAACCAGGCAAAAGCGGAACTTTTGAACCACTCACGCCATTCTCCATAGTAATGGAAGGCATTCTTTATTCTATAAATCTAACAAAAAGAGATAAGCAGAATTGTATTACATGTCTTGATGCACAAAAGGCTCTTTTTTTATTGAAGCTAGTTTGATTACTAGTGATCAGTTGTAGGCGGACATCGTGCGATACATTTAGCTTAATTTCTCGGTAGGTATGGCACTGCTGTTCATAATATTGCTGTTTTATACATTGCCGCACATTAAAACAGTTGTTACACAAAAAGTGTTGGTGTCTGATGATCTATGTTTTTGTTACGTTCATTATTTATTAGAGTCATATGACTAAGTCAAACAAGTCCGAAGAAATTAGGATACTGTTAAGCAATGGACGAGGCTAGGGTTTACCTTGTGTTGGATAATTTGTAGCAAACCACACAAACACAAGGATGATTACATCTGCATTATGATGATACGGTTTCAGTGCTCCATAAAATTAATCTCGCATAATCTTGTCATGCTTAGGTAAACAAGGGACACAGGCAGTGTTATGTTGCAAAGTTAGTACTACACTACAAAGCTACCAGTAGACTTTTCAAAATAAATGTGGCAACTCCTCAAAATAAAAGTCTCCCAGTAGGGTTATGCAACAATGAACGAAGTGCAATACTGAACAGAATAGCAGAAGCGGAGGCCGTGATGAAACAGAATCTGCATAACAATGGGTGTAGTTTTCAGATGATGCAAATATATAGCTTAAAAGGAATCCTGCACGTTACGGACATCGCAACCTGGCAGTATGATACAGATCATCATGATAATGCAGAAGTTCCAAAGGAAGATGGAAGCTTAAACAGAGGAAAAAAAAAAATCCCTTGAACTGACCGAGCCAGCGTTTCTAGCCTTCTTCAAGGCATGAGATACTGCCTTGAAACACTGGCTCCAGCAGCACCTCACATTTATGGATATTTCTGAACGTCATGACAGAGGTGCGAGGAAGGTTTCAAATATGAACAAGTTCCACAACTCTCCTGCAAGAACAAGCGTCAGAAATTTCTAATGACACAAATAAACCTTCATTAAACATGGAATATCAAATGCAGTCAAGCTTTGTCCCACTAAAACGGATTCATTGAAACCGACAGATATGTTAGGACAGTGTTCTAACCGCATATTCGGCATTCAATTGAGATTGTAAAGCATTCACTTTAAACATAAAAAACGTAATCGACTGGGCCCATTGGTGGCTTTCTGTGGTGCCTGGGCACCACACGAGTTGCGAGACATGAGAAAATGTGATTAGTAACAATGATATCCGGGGTTTCACATTCTAAAACCATTATAGTATCATGAGGGACATTGCAGCAGACGGCTCCAGAAATTTCGACTATATGGTTCTTTTTAATGTGCACTGCCATCGGCACAGTACATGGGCCTCTGGTATTTCACGTCCACCAAAATGTGGCGCAGCTCAGATCAAACCCACGGCCTCCGAGTTCGCAGTTGAGCATGGATGAGGACAAGTGGCAACTGCCATCAGGTGTCACATATGAAACAATCTCAATCAGCACTAAAGTAAACGCTCAAAGTTAGAATTAAAAGGTGGAAATCACGTGAGCACAACGGTTCTGTAACATACGCCCCACCCTTCAAAACATGAATGGCTTATCAGAAAGTGTGATTGACAGCTTTACTGACACACTGATGAACCAAATTGAGGTGATACTTAAATGAAGGCCAAGAAAGTTTGCACTGCTAAGAATGTAATGACACAAAACAAAAGAAAACTTAAGGATGCCGAAGGCTTGCTTTCAAGAGTAAAAATGCAATATCATAATAGGACCCTGTTCACATAGTCTGCTCACTCGCTTCACTTCCCAGTGGTCTCCTCAACCATGCCGCGAGGAATGAAAGGTCTGTGCACTTATCAATGGCAGTTTTAAAATCTACTAGAATGCACACCTACTGCATATATAGTTATGAAGGGCCCACTGAGTCATAATTTATCATATTGTGGGGATCGGTGAAAAACCTACAGTGCGCTTGCAAGGCAATATGCGCAGCTGCACACCTCGTCAATGCTGTTGCTGCTGATTATGATCGATGAAGTTGGATCGCTGTGTCGTGGGTGGGCCTTTAAATAACTCATTTGCTGCACAAGTCGCATGATGTGATTTCCGGTGCGATTCTACGCTCATGCCACACAATATTACACTTTCTCACGTACTACTCAACTAAAATAAACTTCCTAATTTTTTATGAGAAAATTTTACTCGGTGATGTGGCTCTGCAGTAAAATAAAAACACCTGTCTGCCACGCAGAAGGTTTGTATTGGAATCTCACCCAAGCCAGATTTTTTTGGTTGTTTTTAGCATCTATATCGATTTTTTCGCTCGCAACCAACGACGCAGCCGCCAACACCGGGACGACTGCAAATGCCAAACGACTTTTCGGTAACACGCCATTTCGGTAACATAACAATCGCGGGCAACACTAAACAGTACCACACATTGCTGCGCAGTTATCATGGTGGTTTCCTACCGTGTGGACCTTGCCCACTTGGAGAGATTACCCGAACTACGACGCAGTACATCAATCAGCGCACGCATTTCCCGAGGCGGTTTCTTTCCTAATGACCGCCAGGTTCGGTGCTGCTTTGCTTCGATAATAATACGAAAAGCAGCGTATTCTTCACATGGAACACGAACGCAAAAAGCTCTAAACGCGATGAAAGATGCCTGTTCGCTTCCCAAAGTGTTACTCGCTACACGTACTCTACCAGTTTTCGCATGGGTCCCGCGCCTGCACGTAACAGGCTTTCGACCAATGCGGCGAACAATAGAAGCGCTGTAATTACTTGCAAACGAGGGTCGCACGACGACAGCGGATCCTACACAGCGCCACTCAATCACGAGGCAAAGCGAAACAAGACTGGGTCGATGCACTCGTGGCTACCAGACGTGATGAACTAAAGAAGAAAACGTTACAACAGAAAGCATACGTATTTAATGAACGCACGCTAACAAAATGCCGCAGCTTCATCTAAGCGTTACAGCAAGACCAATGTGTTTAATTTCGAAAAGGGAGGTGCGCGATCTGGGTTTAGCCTGCGTAGAACGTCCCGCGCGGCCCAATAGCGACATGGGCGATGTCTCGATACGCACGCGGCCGATGAGGATAACGCGAAATCGAGCAAATATAAGGAAGGTCAAAGGCCCCTCAGGGTCGAATGCCGCTTGTAGAACGTGCGCAGCGGACGGTTACTTTCCGGCACGAGCCACCAGCGGTGGGACCGACTCACCAGTAAAGGAATTTTAACTTGGGGTTCGCGAAGTCCGTCTTGAAGCTGGTCTTCGGAATCTCCTTCATCTGCGACGCACTCTGTTCTCCGCCGAGGAAGAAATCCTGAAGGCTGTACGCGAGAAACAGCAGAAACACGCCGCCGTAGAACAGCTTAGAATTGTCGGCCATCTCCGACCGCTGACGAGCCGATTTAGGATTGGATTAACTCGGAAAGGCGTCAACTCTTATTACCGTAGTGTCGTATTTTTATTTGTTGTAAGTTATAACCTAACGGCAAACATTTAAAATTCAACACACACTAAATGTAGTTTCTGAACGCATGTTTGCCATAATTTGAGGTTTTTGTCGTTGTCTGCTGAAATATATTTGTTTGTTTACGTGAGTGATAACACGTGTTCCGTGCCCCGCTTCGTTCCCGGATTCAACATCCCGCGCTCGCTTGTATGCAGAAATTTTGCACTGTCTTCTTAAATTAAGCTTAATTTCGCGTTTTAATAACGACATAAGAGTGCAGGTTTTACCGTTACCATCTTGCTCTTGCGCAGCGGGGTGTTTGATATCGCACTTATTCGTTGATCAAGCGCAGTTGACATTTGTGTAGCTGATCGACGTAGCTTTTTCTTTGGCAGATTCTAGTTTAGGCTATAGGTCAAGTCATAGCTTGTAAAGCACGCAATCACTTGTTACGTTTCTCCCTATAGACACGATGTGATAGAAGACTGTACTGAGACGACTTTTCACCATATCGCAGGCTGGTGTGTACTTAGGCCGGCCGGCATCATGCCTCCGAAAGGTAAAGGCGGTGACTCCAAAGGAGGATCCAAAGGAGGCAAAGGCAAAGGTGCGGGAGAGTCAGCTGAAGCTTCAGACTCCAAAGGTGGCAAGCAGGCCAAGGGAGGAACCGCCGTCAAGGTGCTGTGCTATAGACGATGCACTAGTACTCAAGTTGACCCGGCACACATATCTACGCTTGATACAAGGCCGCTATTCATCCTCTCTAGTAGATCTCGTGGTCGTTTAAAAACGAGGTGTAATGAGAATTGCAAAGCATGTTCAGCCTTGTAAAAAGCGGCCGTAGGCATTGATTACCGAAATGTATAATTGCTGCAGTTGCTCATTAATTTTTGTTTAGTCTGCATTATTTTGCGAAAAGACAGTCGTTAGAGCTCGAACTAGTAGACACAGGGTACATATGCATTTGGAAGTCGATCTGACGAAGTGATGACCGTGGTCGAATTCGTAAAATAGGGAAGTTCTTAAAAACGAGATGGGAATCTTTCAGTCGTTCCACATAAAGTGTCGTTGCGTTAGCAACACTCAAAAACTACCACAGCATCGCTGTTGCCGCCAACCACCGTCTGCGCATATGAAAAGCCCGAGAGAACAGCCTGAATATGCACTCTCCCATGTCGCACTGTCATAAAAGCCAAAAAGAGGCCAAGGGCTATCGTATGTAATTGACCTCCCCTAGAGCACCCATATGCACCTTCGATGGGAAACCTGGTACCCTACACAAACGATTGACTGATATGCGAGGTTTAACATCCTAAAACCATCATATGATTACGAGAGACGCCGTAGTGGAGGGCTCCGGAAATTTCGACCACCTGGGGTTCTTTAACGTGCACCCAAATCTGAGCACACGGGTCTACAACATTTCCGCCTCCATTGGAAATGCATACGCTGCAGCCAGGATTCAATCTCTTGACCTGTGGGTGTACACACACGATGCAGAGAGATAGGTTGGTTGCATGTGAAGGTGCATTACTGTCAATGCCACTTAAACAAATCCTAACAGAGCAACATAAAGTGGCAGCGATAGAGGAGTCTCTAAAATTGAGAACAAATTTGGTATGCTACAAATCCAAGCTTCAATTAGTGGATTCCTATCGGAGACGGTTAATCTAGTGCCACTCAATTGTTCTGTATAAGCAGAATATTTGATTAAAAACATGTGTGATCTCGTGTTACACTCACCTGTTGCTGACTGGTCGACATGCAGGTCCATCGGCCTAAGCAAGTCTGTTTTCATTATCAATATTTTATCCACAATTAACAAATCTTATTGGTGAAAAAAAAAAAGAAAAAGCCTCAGTAAAGATTCAATTTAATTGACAAATGTTAACAACTTTGCTTTAATATGAAGCGTTGTCTACATCTAGGCTGCGAGTCATACAAAGATCACCTTTTCATCGGCTCTAGAGGACACTAATCAAAGAAACATTGTATAGCGGGAGGCGTTTCTCTGTGACCTGCGTTAGCACCAACGTTGCTTGCACATTGCACACCACTGGCCTCGAGCAGTTGTGTGGAAATGTATTTCCAAGCAGTGAACTCAAGGTCGAGCGCTCGCACTTGCACAGCTCATTTAAGTTTCCACATATGGAACGAAGGTATTCAATATTTTGTTCCAACTACAGGCCAGTCTAAAAAATATTAAGTTAAATATATTGGGCAGAAATATGTCTGCCTGAGTCAAATAAAAATAAAAAGGCTCTGCAGCCAAGTTTGGGTTGGTGTTTATTTTTAAAAAACTGGCCCTACGTTTCGCGACCCGTTCGGCCTCTTCTTCAGTGGGGGGCGACTGTCCGGCCAGCTCCGAGGCTAGCGCTTTTTGGTGGTTGTCTCCCTCTCCACGATCGTTCTCCCCTCTGCTCTTGTCAATGCATTGTCTTCTCTGTTGAGATCGCATGCATACAGGCTCGGTAGAGTCATCATTCGGCGGTTAATATTTCCAGGTGTTCCTCAAATAGCTGGACAGTCAGCCTCCGAAGAAAAGATCGAACAAGTTTGAAAACATAGGGTCAGTTTTTATTTTGGCCAGTTTTTAAAATTAAAAAACTTATAACCTAACTTGGCTAGAGAGCCTTTTTATTTTCACTCAAAAATCGGTTGTCTTTTTTTTCTTAATTGAAATCTCTTATTTTCTCACAAATTGGCACTGCAGATGTGTCCTCGAGTGTACAGAAATGGGGATTTACACAAATGAGTCCCTCGAAGGTGCGCCGGTCACGTGCATATTTTTACGAGCTACTTTCTAATAATTGATCAACCATTTTTTTATATGGCAATATGATTCTTTATAGTGTTTATTGAGACGAATTGTCATTCCACATCACCATATTTTATTCTTGCCCAGATATGAACGCATGAACATTATTGTTGCCTGTAGCAAGTGAAGTGGTGTGATGCTAAACAAAGCGATCAAGGTCCTATTCCTGGCATAGAGGAAAAAAAAAATACTCGGAAGGGATAACTGTACAATGCAATAGAAACAAAAGTAGTAGCGTCAGGCCCGTAGTTGCCAAGCTTTTCTTGCCTTCATTTTCCAAACAAGGCAAGGGTGCCTGAATTGTTTCTCTTCTTTTTTCAGTTTCAATTATTTGGCTACTGAAAATAGTACAACCAGTCCTCATTAGGCCAACAGCCTCAGTAGCTTGTTGTTAGTACATATATTTGGTCAGTCCAGAATATGATTCAGAGCATATGCTGTGTTTGCAAGCACTAGCAGCATAAGAATAAAACACACGCAACACATATGGAAGTGCTTATAACAGTTTCAAAAGCCTTTTGAGCGTCAAAAAAAGATAAATAGTATAGAGCAAATAAACATACAAAAAAACTAGCTAATTTATCAAGTACGGTAGACTACCATTGAATGAAACTCTCTCAAATGAAATCGTTGCTTAAATGCCTCTAAAATGGTTGGTTTCGTATTTGGATTCTGCACTGTTTATCTCAGTAAACGAAACTCCTGTTAAACGAAACACATTTTCCCGGTCCTTTCAGGTTCCAGTTCTTCATAACAGATGCCATTAAAGGATATAATTATGACAATCACTTAACTGATTCCAGTCCCATTGTTTTAGGAAACGAAAAGGTATGGGAGAGTAGCATGAGACATGGATGAAGGGAAGATGTAGTACGCAGGTGCAAGCTCTAATCCATTTCCTTACAAGTAAATGAGGTATGCAGAGATTGTACATCTCTGGTATCTTCCCATCATCTCTGTTTCTTTAGCAATGTCCTGTTGCTCCTGAAGCACTGCTGAGAGCTTGGTGTTGTGCAACCGTACTGCTACGTGATGGAGGCTCTCTTGTGCGGGACACTGCGCAGGTTCGACACATTCTGTGCGAGAAGCAGTCCAAGGCCCTGGAGGCACTCGAGAAAATCAAGGGTGGCATGAAATTCAACGAGGTGGCTGCCACATACAGCGAGGACAAAGCTCGCCAAGGGGTAAGCGTCGTGGGGTCGTCTATCGGTTTATTTACTGACTTATTGATCTGAAAGAGTACCGTATGGCATGTTGCTAGGGATTAGTTGTCATTTTTTTTGTCTAATTGTTATTGCCCTGAAAACTATAAGGAAATGTGCACGAGGCTGGCTTCATTGGCAATCTGAAACTGTACGCTTTATTGACCTAATTGTAGTGTCCAGAAAAAATAAAATTAAAAGACCTTGTTTGCCAGAACACAACTCTGGTACATTTATGAAGTGTTAGATAGTCGGGATTAATTTATACTACCTGTGGTTCTTTAAAAAGGAAGTAAAATCAGGGTCTACGAAAGCTGCAGCAGCAAGACTTTTTCCTGCATATATAGGCTTTATCCCAGATGCAGAATATATTTGGCTTACGTTTTTGGGCTAGCATTGCCAACATGGTAGGTGTTCTATGTCCATTGGAAGGGTCTTAACCTGTTCGTCACTTCATATGTGTAGGGTGATTTGGGCTGGATGACGCGAGGCTCGATGGTGGGGCCATTCCAGGACGCAGCCTTCGCATTGCCAGTGAGTAGCCTGGCCAACCCAGTTTACACAGACCCTCCCGTCAAGACAAAGTTTGGCTACCACATCATCATGGTCGAGGGAAAGAAGTAGCCTTGCCATTGTGCCAATCTCAGTTCGCTGGCCACTTTTACCTTTGTTCTACAATAAACAGGTGCCCTTTTGCAGACTAGTCATCGTACGCTTTGGCTTTATGAAGACAGCTGTCTTTTTCGCACTTGAAGTGATGACGACACTGTTGTGCAGCAAACACCTTACGACAGAAAGACGCAAGGCACAGTGCCCAACAAGAAAGACTGGATGTACAACAAATGACCTTGGCCTTATTCCAAGATCACTTTCGCTGACAGTGTCACCACAGGAATCTTGCATGTCCAATGATCAAAACGACTGTACTCTGCCTTCTTTTCTTCAATCGGCCGATTCGGTGCACACAAGTGAGTCCCAGTAATGCAACTAGTCAAATTCTGTGTCCCATGTTAGTGCTATTAGCTCCCATGTACTAGCTCATATGTACATGTTTCATATGTTGCATAAATGCACATGTTGCAGATTTTATTGCATGCGTTTTTTGCTGGTATCGCTCGTGTTAAAAAAAAAAAACATTTAGGTATCAACCTTCATGGTGTGCAAATGTTGCAACAATTTAAAGAAGTTTCCCATATGGTAAAGGCAATTTTATGTACCAGCATGGTCAAAAGTTGACAGGCCTCTATCTTGTGTAATAGTATTACCGGAGCAATGCCTGCGAACTTTTGGCTACCCCTGTACATGTGCTCCTGTTTACAAGATGCCCAGCAAAACCTGTGTTTTGTAATTAGGAGCAGCAGGTTTGCGTGATCTTTTTAGCTGAGTTGCTGGCTGTTTCCTGCTTGAGTGTCAGATAGAGGTGCGTAACATTCTGGGTGCTCCCCCCTCCTCTCACACTGTTGTCACTGTAGATCACATGTAGTACCTACTTCATTTTTAAAGGTGTCATTTATTTTCTCCTGTTAGTTTAACTCTATGTGCGAATAAATTATCTGTATCGTGAAACACGGGATCACATTGGCATGATTTACAATGATCTAATTTACATGACTTGCAAGTATGAAAATTTTTCTTTTCTTGGTGAGTTGGCATGCTCTTATAATTGTGTATTGATGCAGGGGCCAGTCTGTCCTATGTACAATATTTTCACAGATTAGTGGTATCCGATATACCACCCCTTCTCAGCATTTTATGAACATCTATTCTTCTTTTAGAGAAGGAGTGGAACTATATTGCATACCACTAATCTGTGGAAATATGTACATAGGACAGACTGGCCCCTGCATCAGTACACAACTATAAGAGCATGCCAACTCACTAGGAAAATAAAGATTTTCACACTTGCAAGTCATGTAAATCAGATCACTGCTAAATCATGCCATTGTGATCCCGTGTTTAACGAAGGTGTCATTTATGACAAGCCAAGCTTCAGAAAGTATGGGCAAGTTTACCGTGTCCATTTGAGTTCATTTTCAAGAAAGTTGACTGTATAGAACATAACATTGGCTAAAAGAGCCACATATAGCAGTCCTACAAGTGCAAACATGTCAGCCTCAAGACTATCGTTATAAAATAGGCAGGCCATTAAATGCTCATCTTACTGGATTCTTTGAATTGTGCAGAAGCCACTGGTATTCTTGGTGGATACATGAGCAACCAATTTTTCCCAAATATGTTTCAGAAGGAACCAACTTGCCTACCAATCAACTTTTGTGGCTTTGATATGAATACCTAATTAGTACTACAATCTGTTCATCTGTTTCTCTCTCTCTCTCTCTCTCTCTCTCTATATATATATATATATATATATATATATTGTGTGTGTGGGGGGGGAAGAGAGAGAGGGGGGAGTATAAATTTAAGGGTTCGTTTTTGTTTTCTTTCTTGGACACAACATTATTGAGAACTAACAGACAGCAATGCCAGGGAAAGTATAGGGGATGTTATTAATAAGTAATTGTCATGTAAATTAGAAGAAACGAAATGGATGAAAAGTTAACTTGCCACTAACAGCATTCAAACCTTCTCATAATGCAAGTTTGAATCCTACTGGTGGCAACTTATGTTTTTGTCCACTTTGTTCTTTCTCACTTACATTACAATTACTTATAATATCATCCCCTCTACTTTCCATAGCATTACTGTCTGTTAGTTCTTAATAATGTTGTGTCTATACCAGGCCATGCACGATGGATGTAAAACATCAGTCTATTTCCACACTTGGTATAACTACTATTTGTTGTGAGATGCATTTGTTGTACTTATGATAAAGGTAAAGCCCAGGATCATCAACGCACCCTTGTGTGAAGGCTTCAGTATTAATTTATTCGAACTAGTCGCTTTCTTCTTCGCTTTCATCACTTTCTTCTTCGGCTTCCTGCAGCCACTGTACGAATTTCGCAGCCTGCATTGGAACGAAGGAAAAAAAAGTAGAAAAACTGGTTACAGTATCTGGTAGAATGTACCGTATGGTATGGTGCATTTCAGTACAGCACAGTTTAGCACATTAAGTAGTGAGTGCTGTGAGTGGTGTTCTGCACAAACACAGGGTGAACATAGCAGACAGTACGAGCTCACCTCGCTAGCAATCAGTGTCAGTGCAATTTAGAGTCAATTTTTCTCATGTAACAAATATTTACAGGTGGCAGTAAGCTCTCAGTAAGTTGCGAAGTTCGAGTAGAGTATGCATAAAGTGCGCAAGTATTGGCACACAACAGCGCCGAGATCATCAAAAATAATGCAGAAAAAACCTGAACAATTGTCAGCTGGCAGTTATGTCGCAAAAATACAGAAGTTGCCCATCTTAATGGGAAGTTTAACACTATCATCTGGTGTTGCTCCTATAATGTCAGCTCTTCATTTCCCCTACATGAGGAGAGACAGCGGAAGTATGTAGTTCTCAGGCCAGGCTGGTATAGGAATACACTGAAACATGGATATAGGATACATGAAAACCTGGAAACTTTTAACCAGCCCTGTACCATTACTGAGAGTGCCACATCGAGAGTGCTGACCTCTGACCACTGACAGTAAAGGTAACGCGTTATTGCCGTGGCACTAAAATCACCCTTTCCGCAAGATCCCCGTTCACCCGAAGTGAACACTAGATAAGTGTTCAGACAGAAGCTAGTGGTAGGGCGCATACTTACATGCTGGAAGTATGCACACTAATGAAACCCATAGGCTTGTGCGAATGGGGAATTTCAGGTTCGAAGTGAATGATGATTTTGATCAAATAGTGTTCAACCGAATTTGAATAGTATATATCACGTATTATAAAAAAATTGGGAATGTTTTTCATGACCCTATTAACTTGTGAAATGTTTGAAAAAAAACTAAAACAAGGCCAGTGCAAATGCCATTCTCTTTGGTTCAAAGGTAGTGCAAATAACTTTGAATAGTAGCCAGATTTGACTTCTGGTAGAACGCTCGTGATAACCTATAAAATATATTACATTTTAAATTTACTATACTTGAACTTGAAACTTGAAAACTTGAAAAATGATGAATCTATGTGAAGGCAATATGTTCATTAACCTTGATGTAAGGCTTCACGGCAGTGCGAATTTTCTCTGGTTAGGTGACGATGATGAGTGGTTTTTAATGGCGCAAGGGCCAATTGATGGCCAAAAAGTGCCATATTTATGGTGCGTGCCTGTAAAGGGGCCTTAAAAGTCCTCGCGCTAACGCGGGTAAAAACATGGAAGTAATAAAATCATAACAGTGGCGTGAGATATGTGCAGTGAAAGTGGATGGCAGAATGTCATGATAATAAAACCAAGATAGATGTAGTCACCGCAGCCACGACCACGGTACAGAGGTCGTGCTACATATTACCTCGAAATATGGGGTGAAAGCTATGAACATCTTTTAAAAACGTGAAAAGTGATTGCAGTTTAAAAAGCGGATCCCTATCGATGAGCATCCCAGGGTGTAGTGGGAGCTGCTGTCGGTAGGGCAGTTAAAAGTGCTTGTTTCTTAGAGATCATTGCACTGGACGAGAATGTGGAGAACCGTAAGTGGTTTTCCACATTTCTCACAATATGGTGGATTGCCGGTAGATAGAAGATATTGTCGCGACAGGTTGGCCACGTTCAAGTAGCCCGCCGCAATCATCGTGGCAAGAGCACCAGCAAGACCCGGTTGGCATGCGCCACGCGTTCGTGCGCTTGGCCTAAGAGGAAGAGGAAGATAGTTGAATCTGTGCCACTCGGCTACTCGGACTCAACGACCATAGTCATTAGACTCGTGGGCACAAGTTCGCCCTAATAAAGACGCTTGTTTTTTAGCCTGTCTGCCTCAGCATCGCTACATTTTTGGCGGAGGTGCTGGGTAATGAATCGAAGCCCCGCGAGCTCAAGACAGCATAGCCCCGACGACCAGCCTGTCAACACCGTGGAAGTGGCTCCTGTACACCAGAGGGCAAGTCGCCATCTTCGAGGTGACTCACCTGAGTTCAGTCCTCTCCACTTCACACCAAGGGGAAGTCAAACGATAGACGCCACCACTATGACTAGCCAGGTAACACCGGCACAAGTGTTCATCAGCCAACCGCACCAGCCGCCAGTATTCCACGGCGACTCGTACGAGGACGCGGAAGATTGGTTGGACCTGTTCGAGAGAGCGGCGAGCTTGAATGGATGGTACGAAAAAGAGAAGCTCCGTCGCGTATACTTCGCCCTGGAAGACTTCGCAAAGACATGGTTTGAGAACCATGAAACCTCGTTGTCTACCTGGGAGGTATTTCGACGACAAGCGGTGGCTACGTTCGCGAACATAGACCGAAAAGAAAAGGCGGAAGCTGCTCTTCAATTCAGGAACCAGCTCACAAACGAGAGTGCTGCCATGTACATTGAGGACATAGTCCGTCTGTTCAAGCGTGCGGATTACAGCATGGCTGAGGATAAGAAGGTGCCCCATCTAATGCGCGGAGTGAAGCAAGAGCTGTTCGCCGTTCTCGTCCGCAACACTCTAAGCACAGTTGCTGAGTTTTATTCGGAAGCGACGGCCATCGAAAAAACACTGGAACAGCGGACTCGGCAGTACAACCGGAATCTTAACTGCGCATCTGCACAGGTATTCTCTGGAGGCGTGCGAAACGACGTTGAAGCCCTGCGAGAGCTCATTAGATCAGTTATTAGGGAAGAACTGAGCAGACTGCAAATGCCCCAGACTCCAACTGCACTATCTGTTACAGGCGTTGTTTGTGACGAACTGAGGCAGGTCATATGAGAACCAGAGCGTGAGCTGCAGCCGATTCGACCTATCCGAACGTACTCTGAAGTTCTCAGACAACCCACAGTACACAGCCATGCAGCAGTTGCGATGGCGGTGACTCCTCTCCCACCTGCAGCACGCAGCGCACCTCGTCCATGGGAACCAACGGCTACCTATCTGCCCCCAGGAGCACGTAGCACACAGCTATGTGGAGCCTAGGCCCAGGAAAAGTGACGTCTGGCGTGATCACGAGCGCAGGCCTCTGTGTTTCCATTGTGGCGAAGCGGGTCATTTGTACAGATTCTGTCCTTACCGACAGGCTGGATTAAGAGGCTTCCCGTCGTATGCACCGTGCCCCCGAAACGGCGAACGACCAGCGGAGATTGAGGAGTACTTGTCCTAGCGCCAGAACTCGCCACCTTTACGCCAATATCGGTCACGGTCACCATCGCCTATGCGCTACCGGTCATCCAGCCCACGTGCACCTTCAAGGCAGCCTGGTCATCGCTCTCCAAGTCCACTCCCGGAAAACTGAAGCAAGCGACCTGTGGAGGTGAGGCCGCTGATAACATCAGTTACGAAGATCCTCCAATATGGCTTAAGGGCAACGACGGTGTATTTCCGGTAAATGGGTGCAGCAACGAAAGCGTTACTTCAGATTTGCGGTTGAGAATGGAAGGATGGAAGCTGAATGCCTTAGTCGACACCGGTGCTGATTATTCAGTGATAAGTCACAAGATGGTGAAGAAGCTAAACAAAGTTGTGACACAGTGGAGTGGATCGCAAATACGCACGGCAGGTGGCCACATTATTACGCTCCTTGGCAGATGCACTGCAAGACTTGAAATACGGGCCTTTATTTAGTGTTGCCGATTTCATTGTGCTACCAGAATGTTCAAGGGACCTCATTATAGGAGTGAATTTTTTGCGATTCTTCGGTGTTTAATTTCAAAAAAGTGGCCCTACGTTTCGCGACCCGTTCGGCCTTTTCTTCAGTGGGGGGGGCAACTGTCCGGCCAGCTCCGAGGCTAGCGCTTTTCGGTGGTTGTCTCCCTCTCCACCATCATTCTCCCCTCTGCTCTTGTCAATGCATTGTCTTCTCTATTGAGCTAATGGTGCCGTAATTAACCTGCGTAGGTCCAGCGTGTCATTTTCAACTGAACGAGCTATACCTGTAGAGGAATCTGAGGAACGACGCCTAACTGCTCTACGCGTTGTTCATGATGACGTAACTGTGCTGCCACACTGCAGTATAATGGTGCTCGTAGAAAATGACGCATTTTACAACTGCGAAGGCATAACGGATGCAAATGTAGGGCTGTTTTTGAAGAAAGGTGTCTGCGTAGCTCGGGGTCTTGTTCACTTGACGAATGGCCGTGCAAATGTCCTACTTACGAATTTCTCCAATGAACTTCAACACGTCGCTCAAGGCACGGCTATTGCCTATTTACACGACTTCTGTATGGCAACCGAACTATGCAGCTTAACAACGTCAACCACTCGACCAGTGGCCTGCAACAACGACACATCCGTGACTGCCAACCAGAGCCTTCCGGACAGTCAAAAGAAACAGATTTACGCCTTAGTAAAAGAATTCTCTGATTGCTTTTCAATTGCCTCGAAGGTCCAGTACACGTCAATTACGAAACACAGAATTATAACGCAAGACGACATGAGGCCTATATGCCAGCATCTATATCGAGTGTCATAGAAAGAACGGGAAATCATTAACAAGCAAGTGGAGGAAATGCTTTCTGATGATGTCATCCAGCCTTCGAATAGTCCATGGGCGTTCCCGGTAGTGCTCGTTAAGAAGAAAGACAACACGCTTAGATTCTGTGTTGACTTCCGAAAACTCAACAGTGTAACTAAACGAGATGTCTACCCCTTGCCACGTATTGACGATACCTTAGATCGGCTGCGATCAGCAAAGTTTTTCTCCTCCTTGGATCTGAAAAGTGGATATTGGCAAATAGAGGTCGATGAGCGGGACCGTGAAAAAACGGCATTCGTAACACCAGATGACCTCTACAAATTCAAAGCGCTTCCGTTCGGCCTCTGTTCCGCGTCAGCGACGTTCCAGCATATGATGGACACTGTCCTCGCGGGATTGAGATGGCAGTCATGCCTAGTGTATTTGGATGACATGGTGGTATTCTCTGCAACGTTCGACAAACATCTAGAGCG